CTGCTTCTGGCGCCTGCGCAGCTTCCCGAGCCGCTTCTGGAACCATATCTAGGCCGGTCCAGCGATAGGTTTCCTGGATGTGGTGAACCATCCAACTTTTTGAGACTTCTGCTTCTCAAGGATAGGGAGAGAAGACATTAAAGGAGGATCAAAAAGCAACGTCGCTATGAACGCTTGGCTGCCACAAGCCAGTTCTACTTACTTGGACTACTACTACCGTTACCAGTACTTCTAGTGCTACAGCCGCAACAACAATACCACCAACTGCTGCTACTACAACTACTCATCCTTCCTCCCCGTCCTCCCCCTCCCTTCTCCTTCTCCCCCTCCCTATCTCTCTCATCTCCCCCTCCTCTTCCTCTTCCTCTCCCTCTGAGATGCGGGGCATGCGCAAGGCGATTGCGAAGGCGATGTGCTGTCCGAGCTATGGATGTTGAAGTTCCTCGGAAGAGGTGGTGGCCAAACCTTCTTGGGCGGGATATCTGGGTGAGGGAATATCGGATCCCGCATGCCAGAAAAATCCCCCATGGTGGGGTGTGTTATCCAGATGGATGCATGTGTCATGTGGAAGCATGGCGCATGAGGGTAAAATGATTGTTGTTGTTGTTGTTGTTGTTGTTGTTGTTGTTGCCGTCGGTGCTTCTGTTTTTATGGCTGTCGTTATTGCTACTGCCGCTGTTGTTGTGGTTGTTGTTGTTGTTGCTGTTGTTGTAGTTGTTTTTGTTGTTGGTGTGTGTTGTTGTTGCTGCTGCTCTTGTTGAACTCTCATTTCTGAAGAATAATTATTGCTGATCCCCCCCCACTGGTGCATATTGTTTTTCTCAATCAAAGTGTGCCCCTCGACGCTCGCACCCTGTTTTTTGACGCGGAAAGTCTTCCTGCTCAAATTGGCCCCCTGGCCCCCGGGTTACAACAACAACGGCTCCCGCCTGAGACTTCCTTACAATTTAGGCAGGACCCCCGCTCCCGCCTGAGACTTCCTCGCATTTTATTCAGGAATCGCGCTCTCGCTTGGGACTTCCTTACAACTTATTCAGGAATCGCTCTCCCGGAGCTCTGGAGTCGCGCTCTCGCTGGAGACTTGCTTGCAACTTACTGAAGAATAGCCTTGCGTTGGAATTTCTGGCAATTTGCCCAAGCGCCGCGCTCCCGACCCCAGGCACCCAGGAGTCGCGCCCGTTGTGGCCCCATGTGCATGCCATTCGTCGCCCCGCTGTCGCCGTTTGTGGCCCCCTCATTGTCCTACGTGGCCCAGTTGCTACCCTCAGTGGCCCCATAGTTGCCTTCTGTGGCCCCGCATTATCTGCACTTCGTGGCCCCCGCTCGTTCGCACTCTTCGTGGCCCCATACGCATTCCCTTCGTGTCCCCGCTGTCGCCCTTCGTGGCCTACTTCGTGCCCTTCGTGGCCCTGCTGTCGTTCTCTCTCGCTCTCGCTTTCGCTCGTCGTCGCCGTCGTCGCCGTCATCTTCGACGTCGTCGTCGTGGTCGTCGTCGTCGTCGTCGTCGTCGTCGTCGTCGTGGTCGGTCCCCTGTCCGTCCCTCTTGGGGTCGGGTCGACGGTCCACGGCCGCCCCGCCGATCAGCGCTGCCGCTGGCCAGGCCGACGGTCCGCGGCCGCCCCGTCGCTTACCAGGGCCCGGCCTGCAGGGAAGAAAAGTATACCCCCAAAAAAGGGTTCGATCGAAGACGAAGAGGGCGGGTATCGAGGGTTTGGCAAATACGCGTTATTGGACACTCGAGCATATAAGGGCGAACAGTCTTAAAATGATTGTTGTTGTTGTTGGTGGTGGTGTTATGGTTGTTGTTGTTTTTTGTTGTTGTTGTTGACGTTTACTCGTTTTTGTTGCTGCTGTGGTTGTTGTGGTTGTTGTTGTATTTGTTGTTGTTGTTGTGGTGGAGGTGGTTGTTGTTGTTTCTGTTGGTGTTGTTGTCGCTTTTGTTGTGGGCGTGGTGGTTGTTGTTGTTGTTGTTGCTGTTGGTGTTGTTGTTGTTATTGCTGTTGTTGTGGTTGCTGTTGTTGTTGTTGTTGTTGTTGTTGTTGTTGTTGTTGTTGTTGTTGTTGTTGTTGTTGTTGAACTCTCATTTCTGAAGAATAATTACTGTTGATCCCCCCACCGGTGCATACTGTTTTTCTCAATCGAAATGTGCCCCTCGACGCTCGCACCCTGTTTTCTGACAGGGAAAATCTTCCTGCTCAAACTGGCCCCCTGGCCCCCGGGTTACAACAACAACGGCTCCTACTTGAGACTTCTTCACAATTTGGCCAGGACCCCCGCTCCCGCCCGAAACTTCTCACATTTTATTCAGGAATCGCGCTCTCGCCTTGGAGTTCCTTACAATTTGTTCAGGAATCGCTTTCCCGGCGCTCTGGAGTCGCGCTCTCGCTGGAGACTTGCTGACGAATAGCGCCCTTGCGTTGGATTTCTTGCAATTTACTCAAGCGCCGCGCTCCCGACACCCAGGCACCCAGGAGTCGCGCTCACGCTTAGGACTCCCTCGCAGATTACCTAGAAATCGGGATCTCGCTGCCCTTCGTGGCCCCGTTGCAGCCCTTCGTGGCCCCCTCGCTTTGTTTCGTGGCCCCGTTGCAGCCCTTCGTGGCCCCTTGACTTTGTTTTGTGACCCCCTCGCTGCCCTTCGTGACCTCCTCGCTGCCCTTCGTGGCCTCGTTGCAGCCGTTCGTGGCCCCCTCGCTTTGCTTCGTGGCCCCGTTGCAGCCCTTCGTGGCCCCCTCGTTGCCCTTCGTGGCCCCGTTGCAGCCCTTCGTGGCCCCGTTGCAGCCCTTCGTGGCCCCCTCGCTCCTCTTCGTGGCCCCGTTGCAGCCATTCGTGGCCCCCTCGCTGCCCTTCGTGGCCCCATATATGTATGCCCTTCGTGGCCCCCGCTCGTTCGCGCCCTTGGCGGCCCCATATGCATGCCCTTCGTGGCCCCGCTGTCGCCCTTCGTGGCCCCCTCGCTGCCCTTTTTGGCCCCGTTGCTGCCCTCAGTGGCCCCGTCCTTGCCCTCCGAGGCCCAACATACGTATTCCCTTCGTGGCCCCCGCTCGTTCTCGCCCGTTGTGGCCCCATGTGCATGCCCTTCGTCGCCCCGCTGTCGCCGTTTGTGGCCCCCTCACTGTCCTACGTGGCCCAGTTGCTACCCTCAGTGGCCCCATCGTTGCCTTCTGTGGCCCCGCATTATCTGCCCTTCGTGGCCCCGGCTCGTTCGCGCTCTTCGTGGCCCGATACGCATTCCCTTCGTGTCCCCGCTGTCGGCCTTCGTGGCCTACTTGGTGCCCTTCGTGGCCCTGCTGTCGTTCTTGCTCGCTCTCGCTTTCGCTCGTCGTCTCCGTCGTCGTCGTCGTCGTCGTCGTCGTCGTCGTCGTCGTCGTCGTCGTCGTCGTCGTCGTCGTCGTGGTCGATCCCCTGTCCGTCCCTCTTGGGGTCGGGTCGACGGTCCGCGGCCGCCCCGCCGATCAGCGCTGCCGCTGGCCAGGCCGACGGTCCGCGGCCGCCCCGCCGCTTGCCGGGGCCCCGCCTGCAGGGAAGAAAGGTATACCCCCCAAAAGGGGTTCGATCGAAGACGAAAAGGGCGGGTATCGAGGGTTTGGGAAATTCGCGTTATTCGACACTCGAGCAGATAAGGGCGAACAGTCTTAAACTGATTGTTGTTGTTGCTGCTGCTGCTGGCTGTTGTTGTTGTTGTTGTCGTTGTGTTGCTGTTGTTGTTGTTGTTGCTGTTGGTTGTTGTTGTTGTTGTTTGTTGTTGTTTGTTGTTTGTTCGTTGTCGTTTTCGTTGTAGTTGTCGTTTGTCGTTGTCGTTGTTTGTGAAACAATTCATAATTCTAAAGAATAATTATTGTTGGACCCCTGGTGCACGGCCCCCCTGCGCCGCCTAGGCCGCAGCTACATTTTCATCATTTTCGTGAGGAAGCCTCAGGTAATACGATGTCATCAAGATCCGGTTGTTTTGTTGTAATCCGTTTTCCCTTGCAAAAAACACTATAAAATGACATTTCTTGTTCAAATATAATCAAATTTCAAGAATCCCTTGCAAAAAATAAGGTAAAGTGGACATTCGCGCGCGCAAGACGAAATCCTTCCAAAACCTTAGTGTTCGCAGCGATTTTAACATAAAAACATTAAAAAACCAATGGTTTTTCAACAAAAAAATGTCAAAATCTCATCCCGCGCGCTCTTGCGGATTCGTAGGAAAACCACCACTTTTTAAACATTTCTGTCAAACGGGCTTTTGCGAGCAACTTTTTCGAACTTCTGCGACAACGGTTGCGCACCTGCCAGGGCCATCATCCCTGTCAAATAATACCATGCGGGACACATTCGTTTTTTCTTCGCGCGCGCACGCCGAAATCTCAAAAAACCATTGGGTTCTTAAGAATTTTAGCACCGCGCCTCATAAAATCACACGAATCGCACCGTAGGTCCTCGAAAAACACCTGCACGACTTTTCAAAATTTCCACCCGCGCGCGCTGTCCGAATCCTAAAAAAACCAATGGCTTTCCAACATTTATGTTACATGAGCTCGCGCGAGCTACTTTCGCACGCTCTTGCAACGGGGTTCGCGCGCCTGCCAGGGGCCAGAATCCCTTGCGGTTGCGCCATAGGCTTAACAACTTCTGTGGGTTAACAAGGCTTAACAACTTCTGTGGGTGTACGAACGTAGGCTTAACAACTTCTGTGGGTGTGTACTCCACGCCAGTGTAGTAGCCACGGTCGTCCGCAGGCCACGAAGTGAAGTGTCCGAACGTCATAGGGCGGGAAGCTGGGTGTGGGTGGTGGCGAAGATTCGTGTGGATATTTGGTAGAGCTTGCACTGCCCCCCCACAAAGTGGGGGTATTGGCTGGCGTCGCATGAAAACCCTGGCACTGGTGAGAACACTGAGCGTTCGGGTAAAGTGATTGTTGTTGTTGTTGTTGTTGTTGTTGTTGTTGTTGTTGTTGTTGTGGTGTTTGCTGTTGTTTGTTGGTGTGTGTGTGTGTGGCTGCCTCTTGCCTGCAGGAGCAGCCCGCCGAGGCGACGTCGGGCCCGGCGGACGCGCCCCAGAAGCCGGGCACCGTGCGGATGACGGTGGGGCAGCGCGCGCAGAAGGTCCGCGCGCCGGGCCCCCGCTGCGGCGCCCGCCGCCTGCCCCGATTCGTCTGCGCCACTGCACAACACTTCGTCGTGTTGTGTGTGTGTGTGGGGGGGGGGGGGGAGGAGGAGGAGGGGGAGGAGGATGAGGAAGGAGGAGAGGAGGAGGAGAGGAGGAGGAGGAGGACGAGTGAGGAGGAGGAGGGGAGGATGGGAGGAGGAGTGAGGAGTAGGAGGAGGAGGAGGAGAGGAGGGGAGGAGGAGGAGGAGGAGGAGGAGGGGGAGGGAGGAGAGGAGGAGGAGAGGAGGAGAAAAAAAAAAGGGTGAGGTAGGAGGAGGAGGAGGAGAGGAGGAGAGGAGGAGGAGGAGGAGGGGAAGGAGAGGAGGAGGAGGAGGAGGAGAGGGAGGAGGAGTAGGAGGAGAGGAGGAGGAGGAGAGGAGGAGGAGGAAGGAGGAGGAGGAGGAATGAGTAGGATAGGAGGAGAGGGAGGGTAGGAGGGAGGAGGGGAGAGGAGAGGAGGAAGAGGAGGAATTAATAGGAGGAGGAGGGAGGAGGAGGAGGAGGAGGAGGAGGAGGGGATGGGAGGAGGAGGACAACACTTCGTCGTGTTGTTGTGGGAGCCGCCAAGAGGATCAGGCTTCGTCCGTGGCATCCGCGCGAGCGGGCCGGGCGGAGCTGGCCCCTGTCCCGGACCGCGACAAGGCCTGCCCCCACCCCCCCCCCCCCTCCTGTCCCCCCTGGACTCTCAGCGGGCCGGGTGAGGAGCGGGGGGGAGGGGGCTGCTCCACGCGCGGCTTTCCAGGACCAGGCCAGCCAAGGGGGAATCAGAAAGGAATTGACTGGAACCCCGTCAGAGCTGACGGTGAGGACCCCCAGCGCCCCGCCAGCCCCCCTCTCCCCCTTGTCTCTCCCTCCTTCTCCTCCTCCTCCTCCTCCTCCTCCTCCTCCCTCCTCCTCCTCCTCCTCATCCTCCAGTTATTTAGTTTGAAATCCCGACGTGAAAGCACGCGGTTTTAGAAATCCCACCGGGTGGCGGGTGGGATCTTGCCCTGCCAACGCAAGATGATGAAGTTCCAACTCATGACGAAACTCTTGTAACGCTGATGTAGTAGGTCGACCCTCCCAGGAGGATCGTCAGCCACGCGCAAAGGGGGGTGGGGGGAGGGGGGAGGGCTTCTTTGAAGCACCCCTGCTTCTTAGAAGGCGCGGGCCTTATCTATAGATGTAAGGTCGGCCCCTTCTAAGAAGCAGCCTGCTTCTAAGAAGCCCTCTCCCCCCCACCCCCTTGTGCGCGCCGCCAAGATCGAGTGTAGCCCCGATCGAGGACAGGGGTGCGAGGGCCGAGGGTTGCCCACGTCTCTGCTCGCTGCTCCACTCGCGGAGGCGCCCTCGAGGCCGCGGCCGGGTCGGCCCTGGATGTCGAGGCCCCCTGCGGCCCAGGGCGGGGCCCTCGCGAGGAGGGGCCCGCGGCTCGGAACAGACACGATGTCGGAGGTGTGGGGCAGGGAGGAGGAGGAGGAGGAGGAGGAGGAGGAGGAGGAGGAGGAGGGGAGGAGGAGGGGAGGAGGAGGAGGAGGAGGAGGAGGAGGAGGAGGAGGAGGAGGGGGATGAGGGGGAGGAGGGGGGGAGGGGAGGAGGCGGAGGAGGAGGAGGAGGAGGAGGCGGAGGAGGAGGAGGAGGAGGAGGGGAGGATGGGGTAGAGGAGGAGGAGGAGGAGGAGGAGGTGGGGAGGAGGGGAGGAGGCGGAGGGGGAGGAGGAGGAGGCGGAGGGGAGGTGGAGGAGGGGGAGGGAGGAGGAGGAGGGAAGGAGGAGGAGGAGGATGGAGGCGGAGAGGGAGGCGGAGGAGGAGGGGAGGAAGTGTGGGACAGAATTCGGGAGCCTTGAGTGGAGGGTTTCTCCCCGGGGCTTAGGCGACCCCTTCTCCCCTTCTCTCTCCTCCTCCTCCTCCTCTCCCCCTCCTCCTACGCTGGTCTCCTCCTCCTCCTCCTACTCCTCCTCCTCCTCCATCTCACCTCCCCTCCCCCATCCTCCACCTCCTCGTCGTCCTCCTCCTCCTCCTCCTCGGGTCGCCTACGGCCCTGGGGGAAACCGCGTAGGGATGGGACAGGAATCGGGAGCCTTGAGACGGTGGTCGATGCATACGGGGGTCAGCCAGAGCGCATGATCGTGCAGGATCCTGCAGAGCCAGGGGTGCACTGACCTGGGTTTGGGTGCGGGACCCTGCAGGATCCTGCGGGATCCTCCAGGATCTTGCGGGATCCTGCAAGGCCTGACTGGCCCGGGTCTGGATTGACCCTGGTCAGCAGATCCTTCAAGGAGGCTCACGGCGTCGGAGGTTCGGGCAGCCGTGCTCCCCAGGCGCTCGCATGGCGTCGAAGGTCCGGGCAGCCGTGCACCCCAGGCGCTCGTGGGACAGGACGCTCCAGCGCCTCCAAGCCATCTCCAGGCTCTCACGGAGGAACATTGAGGATGCCCTTGGGATATCTGGTGATCGACGTACAGGCGCGGATCAGTTGCTCTGGCCGAGGGAACGGTGCCCACTCTTGCCAGAGCATGCACCCTTGCAGCCTTGAGTTCTGGGCATCCTCTGCACACTTCCTTCGTGCGCGATCCGAGGGTGCACGTACCGTGCCATTTTGTCGCGCTCTAGGCACCTTGCATCTTTCTCCCCCATCGTTGCCCTGAAATTCGACGTCTCCCCCAATCATGCAACATCGTGGAAAATGCAGCCAGACCCTTTGTCCCGATCTCTCTGTTATTTCATTTCTAGAGCCGGATTGATCCGTGAGGGCCCCAGGACTCGTAACTGGACGAGAACGCCTCGTGTGAACAAATGCCATGCCCAGATATCACGGTATGGCTGATCTTGACCGCACGTTGCGCTGTGGATTCGCCCAGCGAAGGTCACCGCCGTGCCGCACCCGTTCGGCGCGGATGGGGCGACGCCCTGTGTGGAGATCGACCGCGAGCTCGCGCCGCCAGTGCCCTCGGAACCCCCGCTGTCGGCGGCTGTTGCTTTCGTGCTGGCGACCGGGGGGCTCGGCGCCACCTTCGTCGTCGTCGTCGTCGTCGTCGCCGTCGATCGACCTAGGATTGAAAACCTGAGCATGGACGGGCGTGCCAGCCTCGCCATGGGGGTCCTTGCGCGGTCGTGGGGCCGTCGAAACATGATCCGGGATGAAGAACAGATTCAGGGAAACAAGGGAATGGAATTTCAGAGGGGGCCACGTCTTAAACATATCCAGACGTCGGAGCTTTGGGTCCGCGCTTCTGCACCGCTTCGACGCAGCCGCGACGCTTCTTCCAGATGTTTGTTTGCCGATTTGTAGCCTCCCCCGTGGCCAAGGCTGCACGCATCTCGAACAATCCGTCAGGATGATGTCCAGGAAGAATTTGGGTATCGATTCCGAACGGAATCGGCCCTTTCTTCGGGCTCGATGTCGCTTCGACGCGGCGGCGATGCCAGCGCAGGCGCTCGAGGGTGAGCGCGCTCTGAGAGGCCGCCCTGGGCCCAGAGCTTACAGAAACAACCCGCGGGTCGACGTCCACACCCGGGGGCGAGGAAGAGGGGTGTGAGGACTTAGGGGTGTGTGGGTATCACGGGCAGGGTCATGACATTTTCGAGATCTCATGGCCCCCTGTCCTTCGTTCAGTGCGCCCCCTGTCACCCCCTCGCCCGCGCACATTCTTCGGGCCATGATCTTGGCATCGCCCGTGCGTGTGCATGTGTTCCCGACGGGGACCATCGAGGAGGACCTTGGGTGATCAAGTGAAAAAAACACGCACGGAATCGAACCATGCACGTGGAATGGAGGTCCGAGCGATGACTAGGGCCCCCTCTTCGTGCCCCCTTTTCGTGTTCCCCCCTTCGGCGCACCTGGCACGCGACCGAGGGTCGACCGCCTCAGGGGAGCTCCGAGGAGCGGAAGAAGGAAGGGCCCACGCGGCGCCGGATTATTTCGAGTAGGGGACTGACTGCAAAGTTGATGCGTCCCAACATCGACTTTCTTCGTCACATCTACGAAGTAACAGAATCCGTACATCCACGGAACACACCACGTTGTTCTAAGATTCGAAGGAGGACATCAATTCTGTAGTCGATCCCCTGGTCGAACATTGACAGCAGCATGCCGTGCCCTTCCCCCCTCTCGCCTCTCCCCCCCCCTGCGCTCTTTCGCCTGCAGACGGGCCGAGGTATAAGGTCGAGGTCGGCTCGGGGAGGGTACCCTGCTCCCCCCTCCCTTCTATTACGAAATCTGGAATACCCTACCGTTCTTCGTGTCTGTTGGAGGTTCTTGTGCACCCTGGGGAGGGTATCCTCTGATGGCCCTGTGGTTTTTTTTGGCAGGCGGAGGGTCTCGTGTTCCTGACTGATGTTCGTCCGTCTAGGTTCGACCGTGTCCTCCCTCGGCCGCGACCTGCAGGGTGTGTTACAGTCGGGGCCCTGAAGAAGGAACCCTTTTGGTTGGGGAGGGGCTCCGCGTTTCTTTAGTGTTTCACAGCTAGCCGCAGGTTTTCCTTATGTTTTCGATCGGAAGTCGAAGTTTAACTTATGGAAAAAAGGGGCCTCGTTCCTTATTTAGGGTTCCTTAGGTCAAGGCCCCGACTGTATCCTCCCTCGGCCGCAGCCTGCAGGGTGTGTTAATGCCCACCTCGGTGCTTCCTTCCCTGCGTCTGCGAGCCGCCCCGCTCGCACCGCCGTGGGGCCGTTGGTCGCGCGCTGCTCTCGTTCTGGGGCAGCGCCCCTCGAGGAGTAAACGGCGGAATGTCGGGCCATTCCGGTCTTGTTATTTGGGAGCATGTTGGTGTTTTTTCGGGGCGGTGGCCCTGAGGCTGTCGGCGCGCGTGCGCCGTTTGGATGGCGTCTGGGGGCTTGCTGGGGGGCATCTTCGGCCGCTTCTGGTTGTTTTGGGCCGGCACACAGGCATCATATTCAAGTTCGTTCCCGTCTGTTTCTGTTGGCGCGTGGCCATGCCACCCAGTGGTGAAATCCGCATGGTTTGGCATAGCGTCGGTTCATATCTTTTGTTGTTGGTGTGTTATCGTGCAAGAACTATTACAGACGTATCCCGACGAGGACATTGACAGCTGAAAGAGGAGCATTGATGGCAAACCGGAACGCGTAACCTCGGTATTTGAAGCATGCAGAACATATTAATGGCACGCGGCTTCGTTGGTAAACTGCCTTGAAGTATGGTGTAGCGATGCCAACAAGATGACAGGTCATTGTTCACGGATGCCCGTATATGTTGTACATTCTTTTGTATCCGGTGCAGGTAGAGAAAGCAGGTGTCAATGCCGAATCTAAGTTTTAAGTATTTGCGAGCATTGGTTGGGAAGTTTGAAGGTGGCTGCACTGTTAATCAACTGCGCATGTGCATGTACAGTTAATTGCAGATGTACTCGTTGACGTGAAGCGCGGTCTGGCATGCACCTCGGGGCCCCTGCGTTGCTGCGCCAGTGCGGATGAGTACTATTCCACGGGGAGTGGATTCCTTGGGATGCTTCTTCTTCTGGCACGGAAGGTTTTGGGCTGGTTTGTATCGTTCCATCTTGTTATTTGTATGTCCCCTCACCGCGACGTTTGAGGCTTGCTCATCATCCCGCTCTGGGGTTGCAGCCCAAAGGGCGTGGTAAGTTTCAGGCCATCTCTTGGTGGGCTTTGCAAACTTTCACCCGCAGGCGAGCGGTAAGCCAGGCCCTTTCGAGCTCGGCGACCCGGTCGGCTCCACCCAAGACACATCATGCTTGCTCGGCTCCTGGTCGGCCAGCTTGAACAACTCGGGCATAGGAGGGGGCCCCAGTGTCTTCTACTCGCATGGTCGGCGATCGCGATTGCAACGGTGGGCAGGCGCCTGGTTGCGGCTGAGGTCTTCGGCTCAGCTTGATCACCGTGCGTCTGCGAGTCGGCATCTCGGACAGAACGGTCGTGGCCAGAGATCTAGCGATCAGGATCGTCTAATCGACCCGGCACGCGAGGTGGGGACGTCTGCGTGTCGTGGGACATCGTCGACGTGGAGGGCGCACTTTTGGTGTGCAATTTGCAGATCACAGACTCCAAGGGAGGGTCTGTCACTTTGGCCATGCCCCTGCGTCACGTCTTGCAACCGCGTTTAGACAAACAGTGTAATTGGGGGTGCCTTGTGGATTCCCTTGGGGAGGACGGATCTGGATTTCCTTTTTTTTTTGGTCGTGACCGTTTGGCTGTCCCTTCAACCCTGCTGGCAGGCTTTGGGTCTGAAGCAATTTCCGCAGTGTGGCGTTTGTGGAATAGCGGTCAGGATCAGCCAGTGTGGACGGTGTTCGCGCAGGGCGACAGCTTGCTTGTAATATCTGCGGAGGTGCCAACACCACAGTCGGAGTTTGAGCGAGCTGCGCGAACGCTCTTGGACCTACCAGCGGTGGCTTTGTTGGAAGCTGTTTCTGGGGATGATCTAATCTGCCATCAAGTCGCTGAGTTGCAGCCTCAAAAGGGTACTCCACGAGTGTTGCGGCTCTCTGGAGTTGCACACTTGGACGGCGCCAATGGCATCTACGTGGAGGATTGCCTTCGCCAAGGAGCGCACCTCTCTCTCTCCGCAGTGTACGAGGAAGAGTCGATGCCTGTCCTGTACAGCCTGGTGGCGCCCGAGAGTACCAACCCCCTCTGGCGAGTGGTGCGGCGTAACAGCGGGGAGTCCAAGATGCAGCCCAGCGTTGTGGCGAAGTGGACCGCCTCTGGGTGGATGGAGGCGAAGAAGCTCGGGAAGAAGAAGCACGAGCTCTTCCTGGCGAAGACCATCGCGCTGGAAGAGCTGGGCCCCGGCGGCTGGCACGAGTACAGGACCTCGGGGGCCTTGAGTTAACGGGCGAAGAACGGTATAACATAAACTTTTTCGCCGTCGGGGACACCTGCCCCAGGGCGGCTGGAAAGTTTATACCATTACGGTGGCACCGTAGGGGTATAAATTTTCCAGCCGCCCAGGGGCAGGTGTCCCCGACGGCGAAAAACTTCATTTTATACCGTTCTTCGCTCGCTGATTGAGACGGGGGTCAGTGCAGACGGGGGCCAGCCAGAGCGCCGGATCTTGCAGGAGCCTGCAGAGCCAGGGCCGCACTGACCCGGGCTTGGGTGGAGGGCTCCTGCAGGACCCTGCAGGATCTTGCAGGATCCTGCGAGGCCTGACTGACCCGGGTTTGGATCGACCAGGGTCAGCAGGTCCCCGACGGACCAGCGGAAGGATGGGAAGACATCGGTCAGGAGGGGAAAAAACACACACGGACACAATGAATCGTCGATGCCCCGGAAAACATGGGAAAATACAGGGAATGGGGGGGAAGACAACAACCCAGAAGATGCGAGAAAACATGGGGAATCCTGGGAACTGTGTGTATTTAATTATGCGCGCGCGAGGCAACGACAACGACAACGAGTTGGCAAGGAGGCCAGCGACAACGACTTGGCCATGGCCAAGGCCAAGGCCAAGGCCAAGTCCAAGCCCTGCAAGGACCCCACGGCGGTCGAGCCGAAGCTCGCCACCTTCGAGGACGCAAGCGCTGCCGCCCAAGCGTACACCAAGTGTCTCCCGTGCAAGGACGGCTCCAAACGGTGCCGAGCCTGCATGGGCGAGTGGTTTGAAGCCGTGCGCAAGAGAGGTCTCTTGGCCAGAACGGCCAATGACTTCTCTTGCGCAGCCAAGTTGTAACCACGAGCCTTGAGATCTCCTGAGTCAGTCTTGTGCCAAGATCTACAAGGTCAGTCTACACGAGTGCCCAGGATTTCCATCATCATCGTCATCATCGTCATCATCATCATCATAACTTATAACTAACAGCACCTTCCCCGGGAAAATCGTCTCGACCCGTTCCAGGGGCATGCGCCTCAACACGGACTGCTTTTCCCTGGACAGCTTGTCTGCAAGGGTTCAGTCACTTCAAGGCCTTGCGCGTGGACTGCCAGATTTGGAATCGGGGGGTGCACATCGTGATTCCAGTTGCCTCCTCTGGCCTGCCGTTGCCTCCCGTGGCCTCCCGTTGCCTCTCGTCGGCTCCCGTGGCCTCCAGTGGCCTTCCGTGGTCTCTCGTTGGCTCCAAGTGCCTTTCGAGGCTTCCCGTGGTTTTGTTTATTTTTATCCCTTCTATCCCTTATCCCCATCCCGATCTTTATGTGCCTATCCCTATACCCCCAGCCCTACATCCGTATCCCTGCCCCCATCCCTACCCTTTTCCCGATCCCGCCATCGTGGCCCTCATCGTAAGTGTGTAAGGCTGTTTAGGGTCTTCTGCCACAATGGTATCATTTTCGGTCTCGGGGCCCAAATCGAGCGTTTGGAAACCGAAACCAAGGAAAGCGCGCAAGCATTGAAACAACTGCGACGTCCGACGTGTGGGCATTAGGTGTTGGACGTTCCGTGTTCGCGTGCGTGTGTGCGGCTACGTTTCTTGCGCAGCTTGCACACCGCTGTCCAGTCGACGCTTGCGTCCGGAGTTCAGCGCTGTGCACGTTCCACACATGGTGGCTGATTGGCCTTGACAGCGTCCTATTTGCTTGGCCTTCCACCAGCGGTGTTTGCAGCCCAGCGCCGCGTCGGATGACAAAAATGCGTGCGTGCGGTGCGTGCGTGGTTGCGTGGCCTTGGGGGTGCGGCGGCTAGGGCATGCGCCAGGTTGCGGGACTCGAACCGCTCCGGTGGACTGAGGCTGCGGACGACTCGGAGTGTATTGCTGTTGTCGCGCCCTCGTGCCGCGCTGTCGTTGTTTCGCAATCACAGAGCCGCAGAACAAAAGAAACATGAAGTTTAGTTGTCTGCGTGGTGGTCTTCGTGGATTTCTTGGATAACCTTCCTCATACTTGCGAGTCGCTTCCGGCGCCGACCCCTGCGCGCGGATGACGCCAGGGAGTGGGTGCCGATCCAGGTGGACCTCCGATCACTTATACTTTTGCAGATGCTCGGTCCGTTGCAGCCCCTGGATCTTGCGCCGTGGTGATGTCGCAGATTCGGATGTCGTGTTAGACTTGTAGTGTTGTCGCGTTGGTGTCGTCACGACGTGATGTCGCGATGCCGTGGTATGCGGATATTACGGTGTCATGCTGTGAAAAAAAACCGTGTACGTTGCGTACACGGTTGTACGTGCGAAGGAGGCCCGAAATAAATCGTGCGTTCATTGTGATCGAGTCTTACAAAATGTGAAGCTGAGGTAGGAGTAGGCGGAGCACGAGTTCGAAGCACATTGCAAACATCGAGTGTCGCACGCATGCGATTCAATTACGAAACTAATGGTGGATATTGTGGGCGTCGTGGCTTCGTGGTGCCGTTCTGCACTAACGTGGTGTGTCGTGGCGTCGTGGATTTCAGGTGTCGCGATGTCCTTGTGTGTGGCGTATCCTGGTGTCGTGGTATCGTAGTAGATCATGTTTTTGTTGCGCGAGAGAGTCATTGCAAAACCTGTTTAAACAAGACAAGGACATGTCAAGCGAGTGGGGGCAGTAAGTGAATGGAGTTTTTGACATGTGAAAATTTATAGCGAATCCATGGCTACTGGACGTGTCGAATCAATGTGAATCGTCTTCTGAACCATCGGAGTTGAGTATTATATTTCTTGTCGTGATCTTGAAGTGCTGTGGTGTTGCAGTGATGCGGCTCATGTGCTTCTTGGTGTTGTTGGGGTGTTGTGGTGTCGCGGTGCCATGGACTGATTGCGTTGCGCTGGTGGCATGTCGGCGTACATGATGTTGTGATGCCATCGTTCGTGGTCTGTCAGGCGATCGGCACGCGTTTGTGTGACGCAGGACATGGTGGTCGCTTCACGGAAACACGTTAATTGGGGCGCCGACACATGAGTCAAATATGTCGCGAGTGGGAAGCAGATCCCCGCCACATGCGAACCATTATCTTAGCCCGATATGAAGGCCAAGTCAGATACGCGATACATGTCAAGAACGTGGGGAACGCACATGCCCCGATATGTTTTGACAACATGCAGTATGCTTCATATCGTTGTCCCGCGCCTTGCCGCACCATGAACATACGAAGTGCACCTGATACATATCACACGAACGTTTGAGAAACCACACTGGGAGCCCATGAAGCTTCGCATCCTGGTTTGGCGTATCATGCAGGCGCTGTATTGCCCCATGATTGCGTGCACACCCTGGCAGCGTCGCATGCCTTTCAAACTTGACTAGGTATGAACGAAGCGCGCGCCCAGCTCCAGCAGTGGCTCGAACTGAGACGCGCACAGCACACGTGTACCTAGTAACAAAAACCAGATAGAAGATGCCCAACCTTTCTGGACGACACTGAAACTATCGACAAGTTTGACCATGGCCTCCGATGTCGGAGCCCCCGTCATTGTGTCCCACTGTGGTGTCAGAGCGTACAGTCGGGGCCCTGAAGCAGGAACCCTTTTCGTTGGGGAGGGGCTCCGCGTTCCTTAAGTGTTTCACAGCTTGCCTCAGGTTTTCCTTATGTTTCCGACAGGACATCGTTCCTCGTGTTTAACTTATGGAAAAAAGGGGCCTCGTTCCTTATTCAGGGTTCCTTAGGTCAACGCCCCGACTGTAGCGTCTCGGTATTCAGTTGCCCGTGGCACACCCCGCACAGCGCAGGAGCGCCGCGGACGTGCAAGTGTTCCCTCGAGACATCCAGATCGCTGTCCTGTCTGAGAAGTGGCGCTGGTCTTGAGCGCGCCCTTCGTGTCCAGTCTCTTGTCCCCCCTCCTTCTTCGTCTTGGGGACCTCTTGGGGTCGTCGCTGGAGCCTCTTGGGGCCCTTGGGAGTCTCCAGGGGACCCGCTCGGGGCCTACCGTGGACCTCGGCGCTGTTCGGGGTGCGCTGGTCCTACGGGGCTCTCCCAAAGGAGCTCGGTTGAACTTGGGGATGTGTGCGGGTCGTGGGTCCGCCTTGGAGCCTTCTTGGGCGACTTGGAGGCTCGTCGGTCCCTTGTGGGACAATCTTGATACCTTCTTGGGGTCGTCTTGGGCCGTCCTGGGCGCTTCCTGGGCCGCTCTGAAGCTTCCCCCGGCCGGTCTGAAGCTGGACGCCTTGGCAGCAAAGCGCATGCAAGGTCTTCAGGCTTTTTGTAGTTTGTTTCGTCCCAGGCGTGGGAATCATCCTTGGGCGCCTTTGGGGGATCGTTGCGGCCGTTGCAGATGTATTGAAGACATCTTGAGCCTGGGGAGGTCACTGCGCCGTCTTCGGCTTGTCTTCAGACATCTTGCACCCGTCGTGCGGTGGTCTTGGGCTGTGGACCTAGAAGCTATTTTGATGCCGAAAGAGCGGCAGGACTCCAAACTAGGGGGGACGGCGTTCGGACGACGCGCTCGCCACAGGGAGAGGGGTTCGGCCTCGACAAATTTCGGAACCCCGGACAACGAACAAGTATCATATCACCCCGCCATCGCACGAGCGCGGTGGCGGACTGCGCCCACAGTTCATGCGTCATCGATGCCAATCCGACTGCGAAATGAAGGAAACACGTGAGCCACGCGTCCGGCGCGTTTCAACACGTGCTGCACCCGTGGTACCACATGGACCCGGCCGACAATGCCGCCAGCGAGCCCAGACACTCGAGACAACTTTTTGGCCGCGCCTTGCTGCTGCCCACCTCCGCCCATCCCTGTCACTGAAGGCGCGCCGTGGGCGAGGATAGCATTAGAATGCTGACGATGCAGATGATGATGATGTTGATGCTGATGATGATGATGCTGATGATGATGATGATGATGATGACATTGCTGATGCTGATGATGCTGATGCTGATGATGACGACGAGGATTCTGACGAGGATGATGCTGTTCCTGATGATGATGATAATGATAATGATGACGACGATGAGGAGGATGAGGAGGATAGTGATGTCGCTGATGTTGATGTTGATGGTGGTGGTGATGGTGGCAATGATGATGACGATGATGATGCTGATGATTATGACGATGATGATGACGTCGATGATGACTATGATGGCGGTGGTGATGATGATGATGATGGTTGTGGTGATGGTGGTGGTGATGATGATGACGATGATGCTGATGCTGCTGATGATGCTGAGTATGATGATGCTGATGATGCTGATGATGCTGTTGATGATGATGCTGCTGATGATGGTGATGGTGATGCTGTGCTGTTGATGTTGATGATGATGATGATGATGATGACGGAACTGATGATGATGATGATGACGATTATGATGATGATGCTG